ATTATGCCCATGAGTTCAAGGGCACCTAGTCAACACAGCAAAACCTCGCCACTTGAAAAATAAAGAAGAATGCTTGTCTGTTTCATCTTTCTGTACCTGTGCCCAGTAGTACTTGTGCTCATTTACATGAGAAAAATGTTATCTAACTTCCAAAAATCTGCCCATTATTTTCAGTACTCCATTCTAAAACAAATCACATTATCTGCTAAACTTTAAATAACATCGGAAAAACACAATTAACTTTTTAGTCTGCTTAAAATGCATCACACTAATTTTGACAAACTCTGTCCAAAACATTGTATAACATACCTCACCAAAACCACCAAAGTACTCCCTTATTTTCTCTTCAGGTGTATCTGGAGAAAGGCCACCAACAAAAATTTTTTTAACAGGCTCTTTTGTTTTCATGGCTTTGGCCCTTTTAGGATCAATCACCTTCCCATTCAATTTATGTTCTTTCTGATCCATGACCTAAGGAAATTAAGTTTTTCATTTTAACTGAAGTTTAGAACTATGAACTTACTTAAAAATAAGTTAAATACAAACCAGGCATATGTTGACTGGCTCAAGATTAAACTGTGAAGTCATGTAGTGATATGACACACCAACAAACATATACTTATGTCTAAACCTACAGATAACTAAGAACTGGGCGTGGGGGAAACACCACACAAATTTAACCATCCCATGTAACTGCCAGCAACATGAACAAACATGGCTGCTACTTGCCCTTGGCCCAGGATCAAAATTAATGATTTGATTAAAAATTGCTTACCTAACAAAAATTTCAAAATATGCTTCTGTGAACTGGTCACAGCACATCCTTTTAACTAGGCATTTAAAGTTTCTATTAATTATGTATTTTATTTTTTCCCCAATGCCAGGGATCAAACCCAGGCCTTACACATGGCTAGGCATGAGTTATATCCCTAGCCAAGTCTCAACATTTTTAAGTACACTTGTTTTATTCTCTTTTAGTGATGCTGGAGATTGAACCCAGGGCCTCACACATGCTAGCCACTGAGCTACAAACAGTCCAAGTCTCAAGATTTTTAAATRTTAATTTTAATTTAGTAAAGCCTGGCATACAGAGTATTAATAATTCCTCAATCTGCCTCTTCCTTGTTATACTTGTAAAACTACACAAGATAGGCAAATTTATTATATCAAACTAAACACATTTTACTATATTATTAACTGATCAGAACACGTAACACACTACCTTATCTACACTCTCCGACTCTTTAAATAGCACAAAGCCAAAACCCCTTGATCGCCCTGTGATAGGATCTAACTTCAGAGTGCAGTCTACAACTTCACCAAATTTGGAAAAGTAGTCCTTCAGATCTTTCTTTGTAGTGTCCCAGCTAAGGCCTCCTATAAACATTTTCCTGTAAAGACAAAAAGCAGTATTAAAATGCTAAAAAGAAAATGAAATGCCTTAAGTATTATCCATATTTTTAACACATCTTTTCCAAACTGCCACCAAATTTACKGGGCAGTGTATTAAAATGTCATTCTTCCTACATAACCCCACATTTAAAAAAAAAATTCTAGAAAGCTTTGTTTATCGCTGCTGAAAAATTATAAAATAATGAACAAGCAGCAAATTAGAAGTTTTTTGGCTTTCTTTTAAAAAAGTTAAATATATAACCAAGTAAAAATCTAGTTTTTCTAAAATACCATTAATAGCAAGACAATCTGTTTCAAATTTCTCTTACAAATCTTCATTAAACTTGTCAATGCTACATAGTAGTCTCCAATGATCATGGCCTCCTAACCATGCTTAACAACTTCTCTACTTTTAATAGCTTTCCCATTAGCAGAGTTCTTAGTACAAAATAAAAAATTCTAAACCTCATAAGCTATAAAACTTTTTTGATGTGCTTAGTCCTTAAAAGACAGAAGCAATCATGTAACCGAGAAAGCAATTTAAGGAACAGAGTTATCCAATGAAGCACAATTCACTAGTTAGATGATTTATTTACAGTAGAACCTCAGTTAACCAGCAATAATATATCTAAACMTTTTAAAGTGCTAAGTGACAGGTGGTAAGTGGAAAATCACCAAGACAAGAAAAAAGTTACATGGTAAGAAAAAAAGTTTAAAAAAGATTTTTGAGTCTTAATATTTCAACAAAATAGCAAATATGTCAGATATGGCAGTAATTCTGTGATACTATTTGCAACTGCTTGCTTTGCAAAAGCAAGAAAGAACTCCAAAACTTAATTAAACCTTCTATTATACTTTAAAAAACCAAGACTAAAAAAAATTTTAAGGGTAAACTGTCAGAATTTGTTATGTGGGGGCTAAAATATTTCCCTATGAGAAAAAAAAATTAAGTTTTCTGAAGGTTCCGCAACTTTCTTACTGGGGTTGGGTCATGGAGAGTGATGGGGGAAATATAGTATTAACTTCCAGCTCTGTGAAGGAACTAAAACAAGCTTTTCATACAAACATCTCCTTCTTGGGGCCTTTAAGATAGGCCACTGAGGCCCATTTTAGCATCAAGTCAATTTATTAAGGTCTTTCTTCTTCATTCCTAAGATGTCCCTGAAATTAAGGTCTTTCTTCACTTCTAAGATGCCTAATTAACTGAGGTGTTACCGATCCTAGTGTTTTACTATACTTATTTACTAATGACAAAACTTTCAGTGCAAAAGAAGTCTTCTTACTTTAGACATACTGTGCTTCTCATTTCAGGTTAAGTTTTCAAAGTGCACATGTATTCTAGAGCTGGTCCATTTATGCTTAATTTTCAGAACTTCCTCAAAAATTCCATGCTTGAATTAACATTTAAAACTCTTGGTAATTTATAACCAAGTCAACATAACCCAAACACCTATAAATGTGAATTTCAAATGTTTACTTATTGCCAATTACATGAAAAAAATTGAGGTATTTTCTTAATACACATTTCTTTCATTTGAATAATACTTCTAATGTACAAATCTTACATAATTTGTTATAAACACCTTATTAAATTTTAACCCAAAGATCCAGAATACTTCCTTCATATATGAAAGCCTATTACCAACATTTACTCTTTCAAGGTGAGGACTCTAGCCTTTTAACAAATGACAGAGCACTAACTACACAGTAATGACCTTTTGCTGAGAGATGCATAGCAAGTTCTGTAACAGATACAAATTCAGATGAAGATTAACTATTAAATCATCATATCTGTGATCATCACAGAAACTTACCAAAACTAACTAACAAAATTTGAAAGTACTTCAGTCTACATGGAAAAGTTATAGAGCCTTATTTTAAAAAGGTAAATTTGAAAGGCAACAAAATTCTGTCCTATTCTTCAAATAAAGACAACTAGTTTTGATTTAAGCAAAGTATTATTTATATTCATAGTATCCTTAATTTATTACTGTCAACAAACACAATTACAAGGAAATTTAACACCTATAGTGAGGAACGTTCTATTATTATTCTCAAGCCCAAGCTGTTCTTTAAGAGGCAAGTTAATTTTCTCAATCATTAGATAAGCATGCTATACTAATTCATCAAGTGGCCCAATAAAGTGCTCTCTATAAAGAAACTTCCCACCAGTAATAGTCATTATAGAAGTTGTTAAAGTTTAGTCTACCTTAGAGCTAAAAGGGTTTACTGAAGATACTATCCTTCCTAATCTATCAAAATACTATCCAGAATATCAAATATTTTGACCAACTATAATACACATTACTATTTCTAGTCTCTACCTTCCTTTAAGCACTGCCTGCCTTCCCTAATCTCTCCCATTGTTTTTTTAAATATTCAACTACTTGGAATGAAATGTTTTACTACAAAACATCACACCTCTTCTGCCTTCTTAAATATAGCAATCATGGTTTCAACACCCTATGGGTCAGTAATCAGTAATGTATTTTGCTACTGTAGAATGCCCATAAGGTCCTTTGAAATTTGGCAGCTATTCATGGATATACTAAGAACATTTCATTTCTTAGCTTTTAAAACAAGTTTTACTTTTCATTTCTGCCCTATTAATCACCAGTTGCTTTTCTATAAGTATCTCCTTTCCATTTTGTACCTAATTAGCTAGCTCTTAAAACTTCAAATTTTGTGTAAGGTAAATGTAAATAGTTTCTGAGCAACATCCTAAGTGGTTCTTCTTTGAGATAAATATTATGAGTACCTTGGCAGCCCAGAAGCCCTGTGGCTTTTTCTTCTTTTCTAATTAAGAAAGGTTGTTTAACAACTGATAAGACCAGTGAATATATGACAACACAAATGATATCAAATCCATTCCATCTTTGCTAAATGGAACACATTAAATCTATTCCAAATTTATTCAGTAAGCACAGTAAACTATTAACTGTATATCACAGCAAGAAAACATCTGTTTATTTTAATTTAATTTTGGACAAATGGGCACTTATTTAGTCTCTCTAGAACACTGACATACAATTTTCGTCAAACTAAGCACTGGTCTAATACCAATTTAAATTATGTATATTTTATATATCTTGCTTAAAGCACAATACCTACTGTCTGTCCAGATTACCTCTGCTGCCTTGAATACAAAGACTGATTTTCAAGTTGCTGTCACTCCTGTAGAGGTGCAAACACTTTCCAATGAAGTAGATAGAACTTCGAAAATTCCTAAGCAGCCAAGTTAAAACTACCAAGACTTGTTCAAGTAGCAACAAAACTGGTTCCTAATGCTGCAACGTAAGTTTAAAATTTGATCCTTAGTTGTAAGTGAATCAACAATCCTGATTAAAATATAGGACTTCATCTACAGTATTTCATTGATAAAGAATAACCTCTTAATCCCATCTATGAGCTAAATATTTCAGAATCASAAAGGCAATACAGTATGCAATTTAAAACACCTACTCAATAACAGAATTCTTTTGTTTTCACAGCTGCTGATATTACTCCAAATTATAAAATTCAATGGCAAGCATAAAATTATGACTCAGTGTAGATGACTATCCAAATGCTATGMAGTGTCACTGAGGCTGCTTTCTGGGCCTTTTTTTTTTTTTTTTAAAAATCACATTTTAGTTCAAGTTTAGGGGCAGTAAAAGCCAAAGTGCCTATGTTTAAATCCTAGCTCCATCACTTGTTAACAGAAATAACCCTAAGTAAGAGGGAAAAAAAATTCTAAGATTCTTTACCCATTTGTAACAAGCCTAACTCAAGGTATCAGTAAGTAGAGTTAAATACAACAGAACAAAGCAAGGAATTCTGTCCAGAAAACTGAAGTTATTATAGTGGAGTAAAGCACAATCTAAAGATGATTTAATAACAATGTAACTTTTCCATTTACTCAATGGTTTAACTTTTAACTACAAGGGCTTTATAAACTTTCCAATATTAATGGAAAAGGGACAAAATAAGTTTTACATACAGACTAGAAATTAGGTCATATTTTATTTACGAGCTCTTAAATGTAGCTTCTATGAATCATTTTGGTGACTTGGCAGTCCTCTACATATGCCAGCACTTTAAAAAATAATGTAAAACATARAAGGAAATACATACAGAATAGTGCTGGCTGGTTGAAAATGCTCATTTAATAATCCTGGGTTTCCCCCATCAATAAACTGACAATTGAGGCCTTAAGATTTAACATTCCAAAGCCAATAATATTTTAAAAACACCTTCCCTAACAAGTCTTTACTGAAATTTACTGTCAAACACTTACTCAAGTGTACGATTTTGAAATAGGAGCAACAACAAAAAAAGCATTCTGTAACTTTCAAACAATTCTGAACTCATGATTCTACATATGTGGCTTCATAACAAGTTCTGACAGTTGAACAAAATGCAACAGAATGTCAACCTGATACATTTCAGGTATGGGCCATAATTGGCCAATCACTGGCATCTATTAGAGTAAATGTTACTCAAGCATATAATTCCTCCATATTTTAATCATTTTCTGGTATTTTATCATTAGAATCCATTTAAAATCCTAAAATGATAAATTATAACAAAATCTCACCAGCCCCTAAGACATGAGCACTTTCCTCAGAAACACAGATTTTAAACTTAAAGTTATTAGTCACCTATAATGAGAAGGTTATTTCACAACTAGATAAGATAGTATGGAAGTGATTTTAGAATTTGTCTAAGAGCTAACCTTATTAGTTGACAACAAATCAAGAATATAACCAGACTTTTAAGTTCCACTGTACTTTTTAAATAGTTTTTAACTATTTACGACTACATCAAAATTGAGCAATAACCACCCCCAAAATTATTTTCCCACTATTAATTCCCCCCCCCAGCTTTCAATGCATGTCAGGATGACATTGTAAAGTACAAAAAATTCTTTATTCAAGACTAACATGTACAAAGATCAAACATTTTCTAAGCAAGATTAATCTTTTATATTAAATCTAATTTCCTAAAATAAACTTTGCTTAACCCACCATTTCCCTTTTTTCTTCATTTCATTACAAGGAAGCAATGACTTGTGTTTTAACTTTTTAAATTCTCAACCAACTTTATAATGTAAACTCCTATTTACCTAAGAGGTTAAGGAATGGTATTTCCTTAACTAAGTCACAATCCTATGAAGTTTTCCATTAGAAATAAATCTGAAATCAGAAAATGATTTTTAAATCATTCCTGATGAATTTTTACCATCTGCCAATCCTTTAAAAACACATTAGTTTTCAACATAAGGAAAAATTGTGGGGCATTCTTTCCATGTTGTTGTCTGCTGACTAGCTTTTTAAGAATATTTGCTATAGTTTCATACATCTTGTAAGACCAAAAGGTAGAGGGTGAATTTTCCAAGCTGATGGTTTGAAATCTAGATAAGCAGGAGTTTACATTGTATGAACCAATATTTAAAGCTATCACCCTGATTATTAGCCAAACACTGCCAGTAAATAGGAATCTTCCCTCGTTACCCCAAATATTCTTAAATAACTAGCACCAACATACAACACAATACTCCAGAAACTAAAATATGCTTACCTTTACTCCACAGGAGTAAATCACTGGCAGTATCAACTATTAGGGCACCGGACAAATACACACAAGCTATGAAAGTATTCTATGTAGTCAATCTTCCTGTGGTGAGCATTGTTTCCAACATACTGATTAGCAAACCAAGTAACAAACAAGTTATATTACCCGACACCACACTGTTGAAAGTGAAGTAAGAGAAACAGATCCCATATCTACTATAAGGCTGAAGCAGAGCTAAAGTCAAATCAAGCCTGGACTAACAGAATTATAAGTTATGTATCATTCCATTTAATTTGCATACACTTAAAGTGCACAGCTATGAATGGAATGGGGCAGTTATTCYAATCATGGTTTTTATCATTACTTAAACCAAAACTATTATCCTTCATGGTGGCCACAATGACACCAAAATAATGTCTCTTATATTATGGAAGCCTTGCATATGACAAAGTAACCAGACATTATCAAAAATATACACTGATTTTATAGAAGGGGTCACATGACTGGAAAAAAAATAAACCCAGGTTTGAGGTAAACATGTTTCTCTCAAAAAGTAGTACTGAAAAACTTCAACAATATTCCCTAATTCTAAGCTTAAGAGATTATATATAATTTATATTATCTTTCCTATCAAATGAGAATTTGAATGTAAAGAATTTAATACTCCCAGGCTGGGGATGTAGCTCAGGGTCTGTAGAACATGCTTGCCTTCCATGCACAGGTTCAATCCCCAGCATCATTTAGGGGGAAAAAAAAAAAAGTAAAGCAGAATTGAAAACTATCCCCGTAAACGTTTACCATGTCAAGATTTGGAGACAGCCTTTTCTGCAATTTTAACCCTAAGAAAGCTGTCAAAAGTTCCAAAGAATACTGAGATTCAGGATCTCAATTGTTTCTGGCAAACCCAACTTTACTGAATAAAAGGCCAGTATATTTGGCTTGGGCCTACTATAAAGGTTAATTATTTTACAAAACAATGTTCATATTGTCCCAGATGCACTAAGGTATAGCTTACAATTCCAAATAAACAAAAACATGAAGCCCTTTCTAATAAAAGTACACAGGAAGTAACCTATAGCAATATTCCCCAAAATAATCACCCTTGGGCTTATATACTGTTACAGGAGTCAGTCTACTACTATCCTGTTAATGGAGAAACACCACTATATACTGTTATATCTGAATGGGACCATTCTGCTTCCTACCCTATTCAAAGTGGAGGTAGGGGTAGGAAAGGTACGTTAAGTTAATAATCAACCCATCTGTGTGAACACTGTGTGAACGCTAACATAACTCTAGCTTTCTAATGTTCTTTAAAATTTAAAAATAATAATCCAAGTAGCTTACTACATGACCATGTGTATTTCACCAGACACTAGTTAATTTTAAAGTATCTGCAACAGTAGATATAGTATCTACTATAGCACTGCAGAGAATAGAACAATACTACATAACAAAGCAAAATGAGAATTTCTAATGCAATTGTTTTTAGTAAAAACTAGTGATGTTAATACTATAAAGATTAAAGCAAGGTAGCCAGGACTGGTTGTGTATGCCTATAATCCCAGAGACTCTGGAGGCTGACGCAGAAAAATTACAAGTTCTAGGCAAGTCTGGGCAATTTAAGAGACCCTGTCTGAAAATAAAAAATGAAAGGGCTGGGGATATAGTTCAGTGGTAAAGCACCACCAGCTTCRATCTCCAGTACAGAGGGTGGGAAGCAAAGATTCTAGATGTCACTTAACTATGGGAATGAACATTTATTCTCTAGTCCCATAGTAAACAATGGAAACATTCACTAGAACTAAAGTTAAGATGCATTCCTAAAAATAACTGTTCTCATATGCAAAAGGAAAAAAGAACAGCAAAACTATGTTCACAACAAATTGATTCAGAAACAGAAATACACAGAATTGTATTAAAATAAATTTATATGATTTTTTTTATCCACTAAACAGTTTTATCCTCACCATTAAGACTATAAAATGAACTTCTGCCCAATATTCTTCAATGTGTGGGAAACARAAACACTTAGGTTGGCAAGTGTGTAATTTTAAAAAAACAAACAAAAGCTTAAAGGTCTTCAGGGAATTTTTGCTCAAAGATTCAATATCTGCAACAAAATTGGGCCAAATGATTAGGCAATTATCATGTCAAATATTAGACTTTTAAAAGACAAAAAATACCAGGCATGGTGGTGTGTACCCATAGTCCCAACTATTGAGGAGGCTGAAGTCAGAGCCCACAGGTTCAAGACCAGTTGAGGCAATGTTAAGATTCTATCTCAAAAAATAGAGAACTACTTTGTTAAGTGCAAACTTGCTTAACTTAAAAGGAATCTCAGTGAAATCTTTCAGTGGAGGATGACAACTGGTCATAATTTAAAATGTTCATGAACTACAAATAGTTGTCAATTTCCCATAAAAGAGGCTGCCTCAAAAGCTGTAGAATTACACAGTTCTAGATAGCAGGGGAAGGACAATTCTGGTAAGAATCAACACCCACCTTCACATCTAATTGCTTATGGTCACTTCAAATTACTGGAAATGAATAAGATTCAAAATGCATTATGAAATAAGTCAAATACAGTTATATGATTTAATGTTAATGTCACTATTAACTAGCAGTGAAGGTGAGTCATTTGTGCCCTCTAGCCACCAAAATAGAGGGATTATTGTTCATCTTAAACATTTACTCAGTTTGTCAAACTCTGACTCCAGTCTTATATAACTTTTTGCTTTTTCCTTTGGTGATAAAGTAGACTGACAACAGGCAATCTAAAACTAGGCAAATTTCAGTGGATGAGAAATATAGTATGTAAATCGTGTGTAAAATTAAAATGTTTACCAAATGGGTTCTTCAAATATAGTTTGTATAGATACAAGGCAACTATCTGCAAAATATTGTCTCTTTACTCTCCAGTGGTGGAGGATACAAACACCTGAAAAATCCAAATATGATCCTGAAGGCAAAAAGACTGACATGGGGGACAGAGGGATCACAGGATGAAAAGAACAATACTCAACCTACCAGTCTCTAAAGAGAAGTCATGCAATTGTGAATACATGTGAACAAACTGTAATTAACATTCCAACCAAATCACACCGAAAATAAAAATTAAAAAACCTGGTAAGAGCTACAGTGGAAAGCCACATTAGCCCATCTCTGAATGGCACATATCCAATTCTTATTAAAAGTATACTTACAAACATTGTTAGTGAGAAGAGACATATTTTTGTATAATGCTCACAGTACTAAAAAGAATTTTTACTTTTGACATCTCCAGAATACTCCAGTATAACATGCAAGACATTTCAAACAGAATTTCAAGTAGTCTTCACATTTAGCATTATTTTAGAATTTCAACAAAATTATTTTTCATCTTAACAAATAAAAGTGTGAAATTACGATAACACTTTTCTGCCCAAATATAAAAACAATACTAATTGTATTTAGCTTAAACTGACCAAAATGTAATTACATGCATTACCACAGACCAAATAAGTAATAGCATCAGTTTTGCCCAAAGATTATGCACGATACCTAAAAATGTTTTATATCCCAGGCATAAGATATCCTATTGAATCAATGTCTAAAATTTCCTGGGGATCAATGGGCAACTAACCAATACACAGCCTCTTCAAGTTATGACTATTGAAACCTTTATAATACAGAAATAAAATTTAAAAGTTTTACCATTCTTCCCGCTGTGCCGTCGCTGCTTCAGTGTGTCGTGGGGAGGAGTTTGAATGGCTAGGGAATTAACAACCGGTACAGCAACCAATCAAAATTCTAGTTTTAGTTTTTGACATTGTTAGGGTTAAAAACTTTTAACTCATTTACACTTCAGTTCAACAGCAGCTAACTACAAAGGCAGCTGCTTTGCGATTTGAAAACTCAGGACTAACAAAAAAGCCTGCCCCAAACTTATATTATAATTTATCATTTTGGTGTCTCTGTCCGAAGAACAGAATTCAGAAAGCAAAAACCAAAATGTTAAAGGCTTAAATTTCCAAATATTTAACATATTCTTTTCTCAAATTACACTATGTATATTTCAAGATTAGTTCTGTTTAATAAAAGCTTACTTCCCCGCCCACCTCCACTCCCCCAAAGCCAGCACCATCAGTAAATAGCCTGACAAGAATCTGCCTAGGCTGAATTATTAAAAACTTAATTTCAAAGTGCTTCCCCAACACCCCCTCCGAACCCTATGCTATCGCCCAGTAAAGGAAATCATGTTTCTAATACTGGGTTAGTGACATTTTATTGCTTTTACCCTCCACCAAAAGCTTTCTCCTTGTTACAGTGAGAAAAAAAATTTTTTCATATACACCCTCCCCATTACAAAAAGAAATGGAGGCATTAACCCAAGATCAATAGTCAGTAATGGGAATAAGAGAAACTCAACTAAGAGCCGGGATTTAGTTCCTTCTGTTAACTCTTATTAATGCTGCATTGTAAATATGTTTTTCAAAGCAGCTTTAGACAGTAATGTGTAAGTTATTCCAATTAAAGGAAGCAAGTTTGTATTAAGAACTTGAAAAAAGAAAGTTTATCCCACAGCACGATACAGGATCTGTTTATTTTATGAAAAAGGGCGGGGGGCATCCTTTAATTGTGGGTGAGAAGGTGGAAATAAAACCGAAAAAAGGCTCCTGGGCACCGAAAAGTGGGGAGAGATGTAAAAATAATAATAATAATAATGTGCACAAAAAAAGTTAACAGTACAATCTGTACGAATAGTTGGGAAACCCAATAGCTGAGGGCGCGAAAAGGGTGCGCGGTTAGAATAACTCAGTGGGATGGGGGGAAGGGCATCCAGCAGGCCAGAGGTAGGAACAGCTCCAGTCAAGTGCAAGGCCCGCCGACTAGGGAAGGAACTTAGGGAAAGCCCGCGAAGCAAAACCAACGTACTAACTGGGATTGGGGGCATTATCAGCAGGCCAAATTTGTCCCATGGTGGAAATGTAAGGCCTATACAGGCATACCGTTGTGCGATTGCGTAAAGTGAAAAAAATATATATATCGAACAAGTCCTAAGGCGAAACTTACTTAAAATGAAAAACATTCGGCCTGAAGCCGACGCGGGAGTAACAGAGATGGACGATCTACACGTTCCCCAAAGCAAGTGCTTACAAACAAACTTGTCCTCTCGTTAACAGTGGGGAAACACCAAATAAACCTCAGTAATCCTGGCAGAAAAGCCTTTTATTTTTCTATTTGCATTTTTTTTTTGTCCAAGATGTGAGAAAACAAGGAAAAGAGAGGACAGCGGAACAGATAAAAAGGTGTCCTCGACAGGCGGGAAAAAATCCTGGCGGCTAAGTCGGTGGGAGGAGACCCGTGGCGAGGGAGGAAAGGAGGGCGGGCCGGGGAGCAGCATGGTGACGGCTAAAGGTGGAAACGTGTGTGATGGGGGAGGGGGCAGTAAGCAGTCAGGGAAAGGAGGAAATGAAGGCTCCGGGGAGCCCAACAGAGCAAAGAAGAGACCAGTGCAGGGAGGCTGCAAGGGGGCCTGGAGGGCGGGCTGAGAGCGGGAGCGAGGCCTAATGGCGGGGGATAGGGAGGGGGAGGGGGCCTAGTTGGGCCTCACTATCCTGGGCTGCCCCTTACTCACCCTTCATCCTCCTCGTTCTTACTGGCGTCGATCTTCGTCCCCTCGGATTCGGCGCTGCCTCCTTCGGCGCCTCCAGCCGCGGTTCCGCCCCCGGTCCCAGCTCCGCTTCCCGCCGCCGCCGCCGCCGCTGTCCCCTGCGCCGCGGCCACCATGGCTCCCTCCTGCTCGCCCGCTGAGCCGCCTACCGCCGCCGTTGCCGCCGCCGCCGCCCCGTCCCCGCCGAACTGCTCCTCCGACATAGTGCTACTGCCTCCGCCGCCGCCGAGACTACACCCGCCGCTGCCGCGAACCGAAACTAGCAGCAAAGTAATCCCCGCCGCTGCCGCGCGCCCGCTCTACCTCGCGAAGCACACAAGACAGAGAAGGCGTGCGCGTGGCTGCAAAGGCTCCTGCGCCTCTCCCTGGCCTGCCCCCCTCGCCTCCCACTCTCGTGCGGCGCGCACTCCCACTATCTCTGGYTGCACTAAAAAAGAATAAGCAGCAGCGGCGGCCACTCTTGCCTCCTCCTCGCTTTAATGGCGCCGCCGCGGACCACCTAAAATGGCCGACGGAAGAACGGCGCGTCCCGGTCACGTGACGCCAGAGCGCGCCCTTTGCGCCTCCCCCGCCCCCTCCACCGCTAGTTCCCCCCCTACCCTCTTTCTCCTCGGTCCCGCCCTCTCACTCCCTTTTTTTACCTTCCTCGCACGCGCGAAGCCGCACACCGTGGGGCCTTTAAAAGGAACCGGAAGTGACGTGCTGTAATACGGCCTTGTGGGGGAGCATCGAGAACAAGGAGCGTTGGTTAGGAGGCGCAGCTAGAGAGGCTCCTTCCTCCTCCCCCGCCCTTCCGAGGATTCCTGGAGTCCACTCACCTCTCCCTACCATGCGGACTGGAATAGTGGTGTCGGGAAGGGGTGTGGTTGCGCCTCGCGGAAGGCCACTGTCCTGTGCGCCTGCGACGTTTGGGTGAGGGAGGAGAGGAGTACTCCCGTCGACTTATGTCTGGAGGGCCCAGCCAGAGAAAGGAAGCTGCCCTGAAGCGGCAGCCGCTTTTGCCGGCAGTGTCTACCGCGGCGTCTGGGGAATCCGGGCTGACGGTGCGTGGAGCGAAGCGGCCCTGCGGACCGTGCGCGTGCCCTGACAGCCGCAGCTCCTCCGCCAGTCGTCCCCGCCCGAACTCGGTGACATTGAGGTTTTCTACGGCTGCCGCAGGCCTTGCCCAGACAGGCTGAGGTCGCTGACAACTAGGGATACCTTTTCTTTAAGATTGACTTTGCAACTAAGATTAATGCTTGCCTGCTTTTCTCCTGAAATTTTTCGTCAAAAGAAGCAGGTAACGCTTATTTTTAAGGAACCKGGATTGTTTTTGCTTTGCTTGCCTTATTAGAAAATCGTAAAGTCTACCGTGGTTCTTTTACATTAACGATAGTTGGGAAGTGTGTTAAATCAATCGAGGGTTCGTTTAGTTTAATGGCTTTTAGTCCTTGTACTAAATAGGATATATAAATGCCGTGAATCATCTTTACGAGATTTCTGAATTTGTTGTGTTGAGGTGGTTGTGTGGTGTTTGGTTTTTTTTTTTTTTAACACCATTAGGCATGTTATTCAGGATAACAGTAAAATTATTCTTTAATAGACCTATTAGATACTCCAGCCTTGGCTGTAAGCTGGATTATTTGTGGTTTGAGATTTGCAGCTTCCTGCAACTATCTTTAGAAAAAAATGAAATTTGTAAGTACTTTGGTGATCAATAAATAATTGTTTGCCTATTCAGCATTTGTGTAGGCTAAGTTAGGAAAAGTTTGCAAAATACGGCATAGTACTCTCAAGATATTAAATACTCGTTTTCTACTATGTACTTAATTTATAATAACTGGACGCTATCCAAAAATCCCAAAGGAAGATAAAAATAAACTTTTGCATCGTAGACTACTTAAAACTCAAGAATGCAGGTCAAATTTTGAAAATGTCTTTAAAGTGTACATTTCCTGAAGTCCTATATTAAGCAATCACAGGAAGGCAATGTTAAGAAGGTTTGTCTACAGTGACTCCACCTTTGTCTTCACTTGCCAGGATATTAGCCAGTGATAAAGTGGCCTTTGTGCTCAATTCAAAGTTTTGAGCAGGTTGGAGACCACTAATAAGATGAATCAAAGGGAAGTCTCTTGAACCTTTTCTGGTTTCAAGAGAGGATAACTATGTTGGGACTGTGGCTCAATGGTAGAATGCTTCCCTAATGTGCCTCGCCCTGAATTTAATCCCCAGCACTGCAAAAAGAGACCAAATGACTTCATGGTTTCATTTACTCTTATAATATCCTTAGATTTGCCCACTTTATAGTATTAGCAACTTTTCCAAAAGGTCTGATGATAATTCACATGCAGCCCTGTAACTTCTGGGATACTTGGAATTTATTAAAAAAATTCCAGTCAACATAGGAATGATTTTAAACACATTGCTATATGCTATGTGGTAGCGAATGATACCATGTCACTCAACACCCTTTACATTGTGGCCTAAATTTCTACACCCTGTGCTCCTACATCCACCATTCTCTTAGAACTCACTTAACTCTAACCCTGTTTAATATTCCTCACCTGCCTAGTAAATGCCTATCCATCCTTCAAAACTTTAATCAAATATTCGTATTTCTGTGAAGTCTTCACAGACCTCTTTAGGCAGAATTCATTCTCTTTTGTCATAGCCTCATATCCTTACATCTGTTATTCTTCATGTAATCAACTAGACCATGAGTTCATGAAAAAATGTTTTCTGTGTATCATTCTAATTCTCAAACACGTGCGCTCACCCGTACTCACACACACACACACACATCCACACACAGAGAAACAAGACATGTACAATTGCAAGTTGAATTATTGAATGATAAAATACTATGTATGTCCAACTGGCTAGATTTAGGGCCTTTCAGACAAACTAGATATGTTTCCAGGGACTTAAAACTATCTCACTTCATCTTTGGCATAAATACAACTCTAAATCTCTTGATGTTTGAACAGTCTTAAGAGGAAAAAACTTTATTTACATTCATAAGTAAGAATTTAATGTTTAATTTCTAGCAAGAAATGCTTTATTGGACAGTCTCAAATCACTGGGAAGAAAATTATCCTCTCTGAAGGTCCAGGACATCAGAAATTCCATTGCTTTAAGAGATTCATAGTATGTTTAAGGTAACACGCCGAAATGCTAGATGCTTCTGAATTTACTCTGATAAAGCAGTAACTACAAAAAAAAAATACTAGAGAACTCATAAAAGAGAAAAGACAATCACACAGAGAAAGCTAGGTCCAGGTGGGACACTGTCCTCTGATGGAGGAATAATGGCCAGAGCTAGCTCAGCGTGTTTATTATATAGGTTTTATCATCAAAAAGGTTATTTGTRGGAAGTTTTTGCTTAGCAGGCAATCTGAAGGACRCAGCACTGGTGAGACATTAGAGTATCTTGTTATGCTCAGAATTCTCTATCCCTGACAGCTGGTACTTGAGCTCCAAGTCCAGACTGATATAACTCCAAACCTTTGCAGTTTCCTCAGGCCAGGTGTTACCACAGCAGCTGGGCAATCTTGACCTGTACCTTTACACAGGAAGTTCCCAGTGCAGCCAGGAGGCAATCAGAGGTCATGATCCAAGCCACCACTCTCTACATATCTTCACCTGGATGTCCATAGACATCACAAACTTTAGATGCCTAAAACTGAACTAAGTCGTTCCTACAAATATACTTCTTTAATCTTCCTTGTCTCAGTAAATGACACCTCCATTCACCTTTGTGCTTCATCCAAAACCAGGGAATATCACCCCCCACACCAACAACTAGTTRGTTACCAACTCCTATCTGCAAAATATATCTTGATTCATCTAAATGCATCTTAGAAATAAATACTGGGGTGATTTCTAGTTAGATTTATTCACATTTAAGCGTGCAGCACATTTTGGCAAAAGTAGCATCTGGTGTTGATAATATAACAGTGACCCAAACTGATAAGGCCTTTGGACTCATGAAGCTGATACTCTGGTGAGGAAAACAAAGGACAGACAAAATAAGTACATAATATAATATAATTTTCAGTAGTGACAGGAAGAAAAGTAATAAGGTGCTGAAGATAGAATGTGTGCTATAAGGTTTTGAGAGAAGACTCTTAAAGGAGATAACTTTTTTAAGGATGTGAGGGAGAAAGCTGTACACAAAGCTTTTTCAAAGACTACACAGCAAAGAGTACATCTGAGCCGGGAGGAGTGCTTGGCTTTTCTACAATAGAGGCCAGTTCGTGTAGGAACATGGTTAAGTTCATGTAAGCTATGGTTAACGTTTTGCATTTATTTGTAAAATTGAGAAGAAAAAGTTTTGAGCAAAATAAAGATATGTTGTGACTTAAACATTTAAGTGGATCATTTTAGATGTGTGGACAGTGGACTATACGAGGGCATCAAGGAAATGAGTTTAAAAGTCACTGAGATGAGTTGACTATATTTTAGCAGCTTTTGATTGATTTCTTTTGACAAAGGGCAAATCTACAGAAAGGGTATTATTTCCATGTGGTTAAATGACTTTGTTTAGCTTTTCTAGAGTGGTGTTTTCTATGAAGAAAAACATGTTCAAATGACAGCAAGCGTCAATGAAACTTAAGAGTTGGATTGATAGTAATAATATTTCCAATAAAACTCAGATTGCATTTTTTGTTCAATTTCAATTTTTTTTCCTTCTATTTTCCCTCTTCTGGAAGTTCTGGAGTGAGATTTTGGTTAGCTACTATAGTAAGGGTTGGCCATAAGTCAGGTATTACAATAAGTACAATTATTTGAGCTCTGGCCTCTTGGRTACTCCAGACTTCTTTCTTTCCCCAAGGACTAAAGATGAAATCAAATACTATTAGGTTTTACTTCATAAAGTACTTTTAAGTTTAGCTGCTAATTTTATAATTGTTTTGCTTAATTTGCAGGATCAACAATTCAAGGAAGTTATTGTAAAAGAGAATATAGTACAGAAAAGTCAAGGTTTTCAGATTAAGGCTCAACTAACAAATACTGAAAGTCTAAGAAAAAGTTTAGAAAAATGTCTATGTCCTGTAGCTATTTGGAGCCTTTTCTTTTCTGTAGTGGCTGTAAGTTATTTGATATTTCTCACCCCATTTACGCTGCATTAGAGTAATCACCTTCTTACACCATGGTTAAGAGTTCTTACGCTCTTAGACTTAGTACAGTTGTTCAAAAGTAATACTTTGAAAATAGTGACACATATCAGTTAGTACCTCTGGCTATAACAGGAAGGGTTTTTCTGTTCGCTAGTTCATGTCCTTGATATTTTGGTTACTATAATAGACATTTGATATTTGGGGACTCCCAACATCAATTTTGTCTTCTCTTAGTAAAAATGTAGAAGAAACCAGTGGAGCAGGGGTGAAGGCATAAGGAACAGCTTATCAGATGAACTTTTCATCCCTGGTCACATTGTTTGTTTCTGGAAAAGCACAGAGCCTAAGTCAGCCAATCATATCCAGTAACTCTTGATTTTAAGTGAAGCAACACTCTTCCTACCCCCCAAACAGAAGCA